TCAATTCGTCAAGAAGGGGACATGCTGCATGTCCGTCAAAGTTATTAGATTCAAAGATTAGTAATTGGTTTACACATATACACATTAATATTATGATTAAAACTGGAATTATTACGTAGATACTGGGTAAAGTAAACTTACAAATAGGAAACAAATAGCTCTGATATGAACATGTAACGGATGGAACACAAAAGGCAGCACGACTTATCCAAGCTTGATATGTTGGGGCGCGGTTAATGTGGTCCATCCTATGGGCACCTTGCTACGCTGTAGCTCAGTGAAAAGAAAGTTTGAATGGGACTCCTCGCGTGCACGGTTTATCTCGTTGAGAGAACGTGACCGAGATGGGCCATTCAGAAAACGCTATAATACAAAACAATATGAACTTTGATAAGTCATCGGCGAATGCCAATGAAACCATAATAAGTCCAGAGCAACGATTGGACCAGATGCTCTACCAAGGACCGTATAGCACGTCGCTGTTTATCAAGTAATGATTACAATGACACTTGAAATTATGTTAATGGGTTGGATAATTGAAAGGAGCTGTTGGTGCTATATGTCTATTATCACCATGAGGTAGATTATTTAAATTCAAAGTCATTAACTGGAAAATCACTGGAACGAAATCCTATCTTAACACTGTACATCAAGTAACGTTCCGACAGAGCTAGCCTAATTAATTGACGATAGACACTAAGGAGCTGCTTTGATCGCAGAAATTGGTGTCTTGATATATGTCCTAGAGCGCCTCGTTTCATCGTCCAGGGGTCATGATCCTTGAGTCCTCTATATGCTTGGAGCAAGAAGTGACTATTCCGTGGGGAAACGAATGACCTGCGTAATATAAGTATCGAGTTAGTTCCCAGGGCCAAAAGCACATCCCTGACCGCGGTAGAATGTTAGATAAGGGCGGCATATCGGGTGTTACAAAGAGGTGTGCGTTCCTGGTTGTGATTCTGGTACGCAGATACTGATGCATCGGTTGCACTGCACAAGTGTTATTGCCCCCGGCAAACTATTTTAATTACACAGCGTCCCTAAACGTATCCATTAGATGTTCTAGATATTATCCGATCATCAGATCATATGGCAAATGTCAGTCCTGAAATGAGATATTGGTAGGCTCTAAATCCGGCAACCCAACCCTTGCTAAAAACTGTAATCGCATATTACAGAAAAATAGGGAGGTTGAAACTCAGTCCCCTGCAATGCATCTGAATTACCAAGGTATGAAGTATTTATTGATGAAATCAAACTGGTAATCGAGTATGCTGTAACTTGCACTGAGTAGACCCATGAAGTAGAGCGGTGGGGATTAAATATAGTCCAAATGTGCCCAATATTGCGAAGGGATGAATCCTATTCAGATGTCTGCTATCAATGTGTATTTATACTGACAAATGCTATTTGACTTCCAAGTCGTGTCTTGAATTCGAAAGACCTGGTCGATAAGGTTAATGTGGTATCGGTGTCGATGTCATATGCGTGTAAGCCGAGATCATGATCTGGTGAAGGTTGGACTTGAAACCGTTTGATCATTTGAACCCTTCTTGAACCTGGCTTTTCCAGCACATCTCTTGGAAATCTACAACATAAATAACCAAAAGCAGTATTCATTCTTAAAAAACTACTCTCATTCTTATATTCCGCCATTTTTAATAGAAACTAAACAAACGTAGATGAATTGGGATTATGATGATATTAGCAACCCAATGGTGGCTGTTATGGAAACGCTAACTCATCCTTGCTGCCAATGTATATAGTATAAATATATATTGCATTGTTAACAGCTTTAAAAAAAAAACGACATAGCACTTATAAGATTAAGTTTCAATAATAAAGCATCATTCCGAGAATTTCTATCAAGATTGAAAACAATTAAATGTTTCACAGAAGAGAATACTGTAGAAATAAGGTGATAATAGCGACATCGATGATAGTAATGAGACATGATGATGAGTGGACAACTGCACTACGCAGATTTGCGTTCTCTCTAGTCAGATAATGCTATCTTATTACCCCTGACATGAAACTACTCGAATGGCTGAATTAGTATTAATGCAATCTTTTGAATAAAGGATGCAGCTAGCCGTAGTGTAAGACCAAAATCACCGAGGATATGTATCCAAAATATGAGTTGACCTCAAGTTGACATCTAAACATATGCCTGCTACTAAATGTTAATCCTACGAGGTCTATAGACCAAATTATGCCGTTTTGGGTCCTCTGGGAAGAGGAATCGACTGGACGCACATGTAAAGGACTCCCTCGTGGTAAAAGATGATTGTTGATATCTAAATATGAGTAATTTGGTGACAATACAATATTAAATCCTCTGTTCATCCCAGTTAGCATTCCGAACTTAACTTTTAAAACAGTTGCACAGTTGGAATGAATATAAATATTATAAAAAACATAATAAACAATGCAAGTAAATAAATATGTATGCAAATAAATGACTATACCAATGTAATGAGTAAACTTCCGTGGGGCCTCAGCAAGGAAAGAACTGTGTGATGTTGGGAGGATGTAACCAGAATAGAATCTAATACCAACATGAGAAATCATGGCCTTCCATTAGCTTCACACTAGAATCATATTTCTAGTTGAAGACAGAAAAAGTGATCAGTATCAGAATGATCTAATACCGTTCAAGGTCATTTCTGAATGTAACATCGCCAAGGCCGTGTTCATTTAAAATGTCACTGATGTTTCTAAAGTATGGACAATGCGAATCATTTCAAGGCTAATTGATTGGTCTCGTTGTCTTAAAAACAGCGTTAATATGCATTTATCAGTTCAAGTCAGTTAGAGACCGGGAGGCAACCATTTCCAAACCTTAAAAGAGAAGAAATGAGAGTAATACCCCCGCCATGGAATTGTCTAGAAGACGAAGAACATTTCTCATGTGCAAATAAAGAGATCTTCTTCTACTGTGCGGTTATGATTGCCTTGTTCATATGGATTAAAAAAAAATATTTAAATGTGCGTCAGACGTTGGAAAAGCCTTGTATCGTAGCTGTTGTTGAATTTATATTCTGTAAATCAAATTTAACACGAGCCTAATTGCAATGAAGAGCCCATGTTTCCCGACAAGATTATATCAAGCTATCCTCAAGAAGGTACGCTAAGCGAAATGCAGAACAGGAAAATAAAATGCAAATGGCAACAATCGAGAATAACATTACCTGAGATAAAAAGATTCTTAGTTGGAGTGCCTAGCGTCAATGACGAGATTGCAGCTTACTTTACGTCAGGCTCCTTCGTTCGTTAGTCAATAATAGTGCTTTCAACTTGAGGAAGAGGATTTGAATGACCATAACGTAGACGTAACTCCTGTGAAACCCCAACAACAGAGATCGTTATATACGTTCGTTAAGAAAACACCCTTCTGGCAAGACTGTCTTTGCAGTATAAGCCCCAGTCATAGTCTATTAAAGCAGGTGTCAATCGATTTTTTGGCCGATTCTCTACTCTGGTCTTTATCATGTTCGGCTTCTGTATATGCAGCATCTTTCTAGTATTTTTGCGTTCACGCGCTCATTTATATGTTCGAAGTACGTTTGTGATGTTCTTTGAGGCATTTCGGCTCCCAACTCCTCGATTTCGCGATTGTACGTATATATTACAGCCGTGTGTAAAAAACGAAGTGATTAGATAATCCAAATAATATAGTTAACAAATACTGTTATAGTATAGATGTAAGTGTTTTAGAGAATTTAATATAAGCGTCCGACTTCCTCAAGATGCAAAGCTAAAACTGTGTAAACCAAACTACTACAGAACAGTTGGTAAAGCATTAAGATAAGTTATTGTCCTGGCCTAATTGGATCTGTCAACAGACTTTTAATTGGGCTGGTAGGACAGACACCGTTCTCTGTGATATAAACCAGATTTAACAAATACTTGTTAAATCACAATTTATTGAAAATGGAGTCCATCATAGTATGTTGACTACGCCAACTATACGCTTGCTACACTAAGGAATAACTCCACAGAGGGCGCTAGTGAAAAGGTAAAAGACAAAAAATCTAAATTTAAAATCGGGATGATGGTTGATTGAAATCAAGATTTATCAGTTATCTTGTGTGTATATACTTTTACAAAAAGTATGACGAAATGATTCGGTTCACTTCAAATGTTTGACTTTTTGTGACGGTGGTCTTGAGTTTGAAATCTATTGACAATTGTTTAAAATTCGGATAGATGGCGGAACAGCGGTCATATCTTTTTTTTCTCAATGGGTGATCTATGCAAATATATGGGGTTATGTACCGAAAATCCTCGTTTTTTCATAATCAATCCAAAGATTTCAATATTTTCCCATTGGGTTATTAGAGCATTTGTCTGTAGAATTAATTGTCCCAATGAGTGTATAGGTATACATACACACTGCCATGGTCTACCTCAGGTATAGCTACGTCTGCTACGGGTATTTTATTGACAATAAGCCCATCAAGTATGTTGACTACGCCAACAACACTTGCTACACTGGCTAGAACATGAGTATATATAGGTATACATACACACTGCCATGGTCTACCTCAGATATAGCTACGTCTGCTACGGGTATTTTATTGACAATAAGCCCATCAAGTATGTTGACTACGCCAACAACACTTGCTACACTGGCTAGAACATGAGTATATATAGGTATACATACAAAATGTCATGGTCTACCCTTGGTATAGCTACGTCTGCTACGGGTATTTTACTGAAAATATGCCCATCATAGTACGTTATATGTTTTTAAATTCCAGTGTGGGTGATACGAATAATACACTCATTTTGCATTTTTAAAATTCCCGTGTGGGTGAGCATAGCGCAAGAACCGAAAGGGGTGGGTGTTTTGGCCGGAAGTTTGATGCATTAATATTCTGAACGGAACGTTCGCTTTTCAACATGGTGTGGTATTATGCTACAGTACGGCTATATAGTAAATCTTATTTAATTGTTTTTGGGTTACAGGTCTGTTATACTATCGAGCCAAGATGTCCATTCCTACTGTAAAACTCCCTAACAGTGCTGAGATGCCAATTATCGGTCTAGGGACGTGGAAGGTACTGCATTCATGCATTCAGTTCTTGCCTCTGGCGAAGCGTCTACAGTTTTTTTTTTTTTTTTTTTTAGATTTATTATTAAGAAATATCATAATATAAATCCCTTCAGTCGCCCGAAGGCATTATAGAAGGGTACATTAATAGCACAAAATACAAAATTATGATTAGGTCAAGGGGTTCACTCTGCACTTGTGGTTGGCCATGGGTCTACAGGGTGACACAAAAATGCCACCATCATATTGTTGCATAACTTTTTTGCCTGCATTAAATCTGAATCATGTTCTTTAGCACACTAAAACTGCTCCATGGGATGATATTGCCACTCTGTTTCCTCTCTAATAGGTGCAATGGCTTTAACTTGAATTCACAGATAGCTAAAGTTTGATCCATATAGTAATTTGCAGTAATGAGAAAATGATATTAAATTAACCACGTATCTACTTACCAGTATGTTCTAAGTTCTCCATCGCCCTTGGTTACGTTGTGAAATCAGCCAAACATGACTTTGAAGGCAGTATTCTCAGGAAGAAAAAATGAATCGAAAAAATATTTCCATTATGTCGAAATGTGCTAGCAGTTCGTTCAGAGCAATCGTACTTATGTAAGTTAAATCAATGTCAAATGGTATAAGAAATTGGATGTTAGTGTTGACTTCGTTAACCACTGCAGAAAAGCTTCCTTGCAAATAAATTCATTCTTTCAATTGATACTGCATAAAATCTTTTGCAATAGGTAAAAGTAATTTCAGCTGCTGTCGCACTGCAAAGGTTTGGAAATAACACATGCTTGGCTTAAATCATCCACAATGCATTCTGTCCTGGGCTTAAATCCGGAAGAGTGCACTTCATCTATTCATATATTTCAACTGTATATCGTGTATTCAAAGTTATAGATTTCCATGTATCATATTCTTCATTGTTCTCCAGTCAAAGGCCGGGGAAGTCGAAAATGCAGTGAGTGTTGCTATAGAAACCGGTTATCGTCATATCGACTGTGCATATTGCTATGAAAACGAGAATGAAGTTGGTGCAGGCATCAAGAAAAAAATTGATGATGGAACCGTCAAACGAGAGGATCTTTTCATAGTTAGTAAAGTAAGTCTATAGAAAACAACCATTTTAATTGAAGACGATAATTTGACTTTTTCCCATCTTCAGGATCCCATATTTCCACAATCCTGCAATCCAGCTGGCAATAAATATTTTCTCTATTACTACAAGATTAATGAATATTATTATACAGATCAGGTTTTACTTAAGGAATAAAGACCGAGATTTTATTATTTATAGCGTAATAGATGACCGAAAATCTTATTCTGTTCATTGTTAAAAGACCAAAATCGCGTATATTTGAAATAAATCATAAAATCGAGGTATTTTATGTTACGATTCAAATAGTATAAGCAGACAAGAAACACAACGATTTGCATTTATGAATTTTAGCGGCCATACATACTCCAAAATAAACCACAGTTTTTTATTATGTTATAGTCCTGATAGCCTTTTGCTCTTACCGTCTGCAATTTGTTCCCGTTTTTTATATTTTTGCTATGAAGACTTCATAAATGCATAAAAGAAATACATATAATATTTTGAATTGTCATGATTTTTCCATGAACATCGTACTATTTTGTTGGTATAGCTTTGGAACGTCTTCCACCGGCCAGATTTGGTAAGAGGTGCAGTTGACGAATCATTAAAAAGTTTGGGAGTAAAGTATCTCGATCTTTACCTCATACACTGGCCATATGGCTATAAGGTAAATTACCTAGTTTGCATTGTTTTATTCCAAGACCCATTTTTTGTTATTCATTAAGAGATACTTCTTTATTACTTATTCATAACACGCCATTTTTACACGTCCTTCTAGCACGTTCATAACACTTGGACTAATTTCACTTTTATCTAAAGACTGGTGTTACCATTGACCTTATTCACATTGTTGATTTATATTTCAGGAAGGACTTGGTAATCTTCCCAAAGATGAGGCTGGTAATGTCTTATACTCAGACGTTAACTACCTGGACACTTGGAAGGTAGGGATAACCATAGGTACTATTAGATAGAGACACCATTGTCATATTTGGATTTATTAAATGTGCATGGGTATTTGAAGAAGGTCGGTATCATTTTCACTCCCTTTAGCACAGTGCATCTTTAATTTATTTTTCAAAGCTGTCAAAACGTATTTCACATAACAGTTCCAGCATCTCTATTTTATTGGCCATTAGTTTGTATATACTGTATGTTCTCATCTCTGTTATATGCTGGTTTAATATGATTGCCACGAGCTATTTTTACAAACATAAACCATTACAACTCCATTTTGCAAATATGACTATTTGAATGTTATTATATACGGGCTGCAGGAAATATACTGAGTGAAAGATGAACATTTATCCACCTCAGTAGAAAGGAATATTTGATTATTTATATCATTTGAATTTCTTTAAACCATTTAATCAATAGATACAATACACGTGTCTCCTATGAATAACCAAGATACAGCCACTCTTGGGCTTAGTCCATTGCAAGATATAAAGGTTCTTATATGAGTACCTGTGCAAGATCGTCCATTCTTGATAAGTTTTGATAATTCTTCTTTATTGAGTCGCAGACGAGATAAAGAAACATTATCAAAGCGAGTCAAGAATGTACGAGTACAAGAAAGTTTTTCTCATATGACTCTGTATTATGCCATACTTTCACGACAAAACTGGGTTTAAAATAGCTACAGATTAATTGAATTTCATCTTATAATTGTTATGGCGTCATAACAATATTGTAGAAAAATAAATATTGAGTCCCGATTCACTTACGAGAAGGAGAAGGAGAAAATGATATTATAAATATGTGTTTTAGGTTCTGGAGGAATTGGTTGACGAAGGGATACTAAAAGCAATAGGTCTCTCGAACTTCAACAGTGTACAGATTCAAGACGTAATCGATAATTCGAGGATCAAACCAGCGAATCTTCAGGTAAATTCATAACGTTAGTTCTTTTACCAATCAAACCATCTAACTTTCTCGTTTGTGAGAGGTAACAATTCAATGACCGAACCAAAATAACTATTTTAAGCGAATTTTAGCTCAGGCGAAAAAACACTAAAATATGAGTTCCCTTGAAAAACTAGATCCCTCCATGATGAAAACAATCTACGGACCTTTTACATGAGAGTATATGAATCCAAAAAGCAATATGAGAGAGAATCGTTTATTTTTTCTCGACTCTTACTTCCATTGTTTCTGTTTTGTGTTATTTATACCAAGAATATAATTTAATTGTATAAAATGTTTTTTTTTATTTTACAGGTCGAATGTCATCCATATCATAATCAAGCAAAACTGCTAGCCTTCTGCTTTGAGCGAAATATAACATTTACAGCATACAGTCCATTCGCTTCACCCGACCGACCTTGGTAAGATGTTATACAGTATTTCATGGGAATACTTTTTCACTACAATTGCAAATGGCCAGGGAACCGCTTGCTCTTATAAATTTACATACATTGAAATTCTCAGATAAATTACTTTCATTGATATTTTTCAAACACTCATGAAATGAATACTTTAACATTAGAGAATTATGAATTGAATTAATGATAAATTATTTAACTCTACCGTGACATAAACTATTCCATTCAATAGATGTAGTAATGATTCAAATATAAAGTATAGTGAGTTAATCAATTGATATGATGTCAGTAAAAACATTGACTTGTAGAATAGACCAGGTGCACGTTTATGATTTTAGGGCAAAGCCTGGCGAGCTTCTATTGATTGACGACCCAAGACTGAAGGCAATAGCTGAGAAATACAGCAAAACTCCCGCTCAGGTAAGGACTAACACAAAATATATTTGTGATGTGCGATGAAGTGTTTATAGATGTACAGTAGTAGGTACGGGGAATATATGAAAGTAGTGGAAATTGGGTGAAATAGTTCAAAGTAATTTCATGCTCATTACGACTGATTTACGATTAGATAATGAACAATGTGATAAACATAGGACATGCATTCTGATTTATCAGAGTCTCACTTTATCTAACGCGTTGGTGAGTATTCCAAAGGACTATACTTGCAGTGGATCCCACAATGAGGACACGTGTAAGGTGAAAGAATTCGAAAATAATTTTGCAAAATAGTATGTAATATAAGTCACTTTTAACAGGTTGTACTGAGATACCAAGTGCAGAGACAAGTTGTTGTCATTCCTAAAAGTGTTACACCAGCAAGGATACAGGCAAACTTTCAGGTTAGGTCTAATGTAATGCATTAACGGTGCCAGGAATAGAGAGGATTTGAGAGTATATTTCAAAGATAATATTTGTCTCAATGTACGAGTTATTTTGCTCACTGTCTTCCTTATCACTGGTATTTTCTTGCAATAACCTTGAAAATGGACACTCCACCATTTTAAATCTTCAATATCATGTGTATTGGTCAGGTTATATCTACATCATTTTCAGGTAATTAATGATATTATAACGAGAGATATTACCATACTTTTTGAATATATTGTAAAATAAAGTTGACTTTATGTATGTCAGTATTTATCATTAAACAGTAATGCATGTATTTTTAGATATTTGATTTTGAGTTGAGTGCCGGGGACGTTGCTGCTATAGATGCCTTCAATATTAACCAGCGGTTCTTGGTTCAGCCAGTGGAACGTGAGGGGTAAGCGTGAAAACAAAATGTCTTGATACATTCGGTACATTGAATGAATAAAGTACTTTAACAAAGCTTTAACAAAGTTCCAACGATGGCGGAAATAGTGCGTTTCTACAATAATATGCTTGTAAATTGTTCATTGAAGTGATTGCATTGGTTATCATTTAAGAACGTTCTGATAGCCCTTATGTCTAAGTTACATATCGGCTTATTTCAGGACATATTTATACAATTGCAATAAGAAGCACAAAACATTTAATATTGCCAATAGTTACATTGCTTCAGTAATGGCAACTCAAAGTCATGTAATCACTATGGAAGTTGGCCAACTTTCATTAAAACCTGTTTTTAAAGTGTGACGCATATCGTTTAGCAAATCGAACGCTCGTTTCTGGTGTTGCTCACCGTTTAGTATAAAAGGCCCGATCCCGGAATAATACTCAAGGGTTCACAGGTTCGAGGTCGTTGTGTCAACACCTCTAACTGTTATATAGCATAAGTATATTATAGATCGTCACACATTTATAAAAGGGTGATTTTTATTTTGACAAATCAATTCCATATTTATGGGTGAAGTTTCAGGATCTTCTATTTGTGTATAATAAGGAAAAATTGGCATCTAAATTTCCCCATAACGTAATAGCACACAGCTTGGCATATGAAATATCCTACAAATGAAACAAAGCAAGACAAACCGGTTTCTAATACAAGGATTTATATTGGCTGTTGTACATGTATTCTTTGAACCCAATCACTCTTTGGATAACGTTTTCAAAATCATTATAAACGGATTACTTTATCTCAAAGACAATTTCAATAAACTGGATTTTACAGAACTCCCCTTATTTCTTAGAAATGGACTGATCCAGTTGATTTGGCTGGAGCCGCAATATTGTTTTATACGGGATGCTAATCGGAACCCTTTAACACATTTGGTCAAAAGTGAAGAGTTTGTTGGCCTTAAACTATAGGCAACTAATTTTGAATTATAACCTACATCGAACCGAGTCAGAATTCGTGGACAATGAAAAACATACCGTTTCCTCTCCAAGAAGAATGATATTCAATTGAATTGAAATTAGGCTACTCCAGAAATCTTAAATGATAACACATTTTGTAGACAAAACTGACACACCGCTTGGAATATAAATAAAATATGATAACTATAATTCAATTGATTTCGTTTGTTTTATCATACATTTTTTCATTTTCAGAAAAATGGTTTACAGAGACGCTGCCCACAAATATTTTCCATTCAACATAGAGTTCTAAGGAGCATTCATATAAGGGAGCTTAAGCTTGCATGCAAAATCGAAACGCCAACCTATACGTATGACCAATCAGCCATACAAATGCATAGCTTGAATATTTTCCGTTCGCGTTTAGGTTATGAAAAACATTGCAGGCTTAAACTCTCTATTATCAACGCACAACGTGCCTATGACTATAAGTATTATATCAGTATTATATGTAATATATAGTACAAATAAATGGCGATGTTTTCTCCACTGATATTAGAAAGAATGAACTAGTTTTAGTTAGTAGCTCTCTCTAGCAGGCCCGTAGCTTTTGCCAAAGGGGGAAGGTCACTTTATAAAAAAATTCCAAATCACTGGCTCCGGGCCTGTTTCGTATTTTCATGATTCAAAAAGCGATAGTGTAATGACCTCTGGTCATATCTTGGTTTAAATATTATTATTAATACCTACTTAACTTGATCTTGATGTTTTAATAGTAGAATAACGTCATTTCGAAGGGCAGTATTAAACAAATACTGGATGATCAGGTGCTGGATATGGCAGAATACCTTGTTTGCCACCAGTTTCTTTAAGTAGTACTCGAGTTATTGAGAAATGAAACTCTTAAGTGGGGAATGTTGCAAAAACATTGAAAAAATATCCGGCAGTTTTTAGAAAAGAGCAGAGTATTGCCAAATTGCAAGCAGCTTAGAACCAATCATATTAGAGTAACCGAGGTGCATAATAAAGTAAAGTACTGGACCAAACATGGGACACATGACAAGAATATGCAACAAGCGCAAAAGTGACATAGTTTATAAACATCAAGTGCTTTGCTACTGTAATAGGACTGTTCATGGGTCGATGAGGTGGGATGGAGCTTTGGGTGATGTTGGCTTCGCAGTAATCTGCAGCACAGCTTGGTTTTCTTCAATCTTAAGTTTATCATTTCCATTAAGTAAAAAATCAATGTTGTTTCGAACATTTTAATCTAGAAAATTTCAATTGCATTCAACTCTGTAAGTTTAGCAACTAGAGTTAATCTTTCAATATTTTTTAAAGGTTAATATTGTTGGTGTACATCTCATTTAAATCTCAATTATTTTATTGAAAAATTTATGATATATAAGATGATATTTTACATATAGATAATTTGTACATAAAACGCTGCTATGTGCGATCCACGTTGGTCAACAAGTTTGTCCCAATTTAGTAATTTCAATACTGAAATTGTATTTGAGCCATGTAGACAACCTGATACAATGCATGCAACTCTGTACTGCAGTCTTTCAAGTCGGTGAAGAGTTAATTTGTTACCAGTATGATAAATAATATCATGAAAATCAAAATGTGGCCGAAAAAATGATTCCGCTATTTAAGAAAGATGTTTACTTTTAAGGATTTATCATTTTTTGAACTTTGTTCATCAAGTTAAGTTTTCAATATGTACGTCAAAATACCTAGATGTTTGTGACTGTTGACTTCTGGCAGAGTGTCTCCATTAAGGGTCAAAATGTGGTAAACGATTTGGTACACTACAGACAGCTTTCAAAATCAGTTGTTATATTTACATTACAAACTAACATAGCAAAATTACCTTAAAAAGGTGTAACAATTTTTTTAGGTGCCGACACGGACTGCCTATAGCTCGTCACAAAAACATTGGCATTAACAAAAGGTCCCCACCTTCTGCTCTGACATAATAATACCATACTTTATTCACAAGCTTGCATGCGTTTTGTCATCATTACATTACAATAACACTGCCTTTAAAAACCACAATGATTTAACTTTATTGAGGTAAATACGTATTGCTCATTCATGATATGAAATTAAAGTGACCGTCAAAAAGAAATAAAGTGGAGCAATAGTACTAACACAAGGCTATAACACCCTGCCTGCAAATACACGCCCTGCGTTTGTCATATTCGTGCAGTATTCAGCAAAGTTTAAGAAGTTATGCAAGTCCTAAAAAGACGTAAGCTGAAAAATAGCGTGCTCATGTGTTTATAAAATACAATAGCACTACTCACTACTGGCTTCTATCTAATATAATTAAATATATCAGTTACTTATCGAACTACTTTGAAAATAGTTTAGTATTGATCAAATATACCGCGCCGTGACCTTGAAGTACATTTTGTGTGCATTCTTATCTAATAAGGCTTTACGTCCTGTAGGCTCGCTGAGTCCGAAAGGAGGTCAGGGAATCTGATTATAAATTGATATTTTGCCATTCTGGTTAAACTAAACGAATATGGTGGCTATATGCTGTCTACAATCTCAGGCACAAACCCCATGGCTCGATTGCTAGTTATTAACATCAAATTGCACCCTTCATTCGTTAATCGAATGAAAAACTTGAGCGTTCAAAATTCTGATGTAGTTGGGGCAACCTTCGCCAGGTTCGTTATTTTCTAGTCCTTTTTCTCGCGCATGCGCAAAACTGAATAGAATTCGTTCCCATCACACTAGGTGTTTTTTTGTGATAGATTCGGTTTAGTACACCATTTGAAACACTTTTATATTGCTGGGGTGATCGGTATTTATGTAATGAAGGGTATGCATTGATTATTTTGTTCAAATGTGTAAATGTCGGTATCTGAATTCCCAAATAATGATGGGTAGGGCAGTACTCTCGTATAATTATAGATCTTTACGCCATCTAAATATGAAGATATAGTTTAAAATGACTAACGTGTGCGCATGCGGGTTTGACACAAACAAAACCTTTTAAGCGAATCTGACGCAGATTGTCCCTAGTATCAGATAATATGGTGTATAGGAAGTACTAGCAAGTAAGCGAGTAACACGGAATAACGGTATATTATAAAGCACAAATACAGGTAGGCGCCAACTCTATATGTTAGAGGAAGACTCAATTTAGTAATTAAACGTATTGGTGCATGTATAGTGTATGTATGTTGCTTCGACAACGCTCTAGCTTTCGAGTATTTTACGATAAGATCGAGGCGGTTTATATGCAAAAGTGGGTGTTTTGGCAGGAAGTTTGATGCATTAATATTCTGAACGGAACGTTTGCTTTTTTAACATGGTGTGGGTTTACGCTACATTGCAGCTATAGTAGAACCCATAAATAATCTTATTTAATTGTTTTTCAGGTCTGTTAGACTATCCAGCCAAGATGTCCATTCCTACTGTAAAACTCTCTAACGGTGCTGAAATGCCAATGCTCGGTTTAGGGACTTGGAAGGTGTTGTGTTTTGTATCAAGACTTTATTATACATCAAACATAATATAAGAACTACATAGTTAATGTGTTTCTAGTAGGAAGCCAGACTTACAAGTGTCTGCTATAAGCATGGTAATCTCAGTTAAGGGTATCAGATATCTTAATGACCAGTACTGAAACCAGATACATAACATCTCCCTTCTTTTAGTTTAAGAACAAGTTAAACTTTTAACAGTCATCTCATTGAAATATGATCATTACTAATTCTGAATATTTTGTAAGGGAGTTCATTTAAACTTTACTAGCCATGTAATTTGAACTATCTTACCTGTCTCATGAACTTTAGTATTCATTGATAAAATGTCCAGTGCATATGTTTGTACTACATGCTAATGAGGTTCTTGACCTAAGAGTTTACTACAGTCTTACTACAATGTTTATTTTGATATGCTAATTTGGTCTATCCTTGACCTTCATTGCAAATATGGATATTTCCATTTCACTTCCAGTCTTGGGTTTACACTATACTAATGATAGTCACTTCACACATTTTATGTTGGAATTAAATGTCTCCTATTCCTTCTAAATTGTCCTCCATCTGGGGTTTCAACTAGATATGATCTGGGCGAGTCTAGTTTCTCAGTCACTGTTGCATTTCTCCAGATGTATTTATTGTTCCTTTTCTCACGGACTTTGACAGGGGTATTAGGTTGAAGAGGGGCAAGGGGACGAGCACGGAGGTCATACTTTCTCTTCTCCATCTGCTTTTTCTGCTGAAGTTTTGTGCGAACGTTGGGATCTGGGCTTTGGGGATTCAGTAGAACATCACTTGTAGGAATTTTAGATCGCAGTTTTCTACCCATAAGTAATTCTGCTGGGGATTTGTTGATCTTTGCATCAATTGGGGTGTTTCTCAAATTCAGCATGGCTGTGAAAATATCATCTGATTTTCTGATAATATTTTTTACAGTCTGTATTGTCCTTTCAATCTGGCCATTGCTATTTGCTAGATTCGGGCTCGATGTAGCAATGTCGAAGTTGTAGTCTTCGCTGAATTTTACATATTCTGATGATTGAAATGGTGGACCATTGTCACTGAATACTGTTTGGGGAATACCATTTCTGCTGAACGAGGCTTTTAGGCAATTTATGATGGGTTTTGCCTTGGTGCTGGTGAGTGAGTACAGCTCAGGGTACTTGCTGTAGTAGTCTACTCCAATTAGGTAATCCTTGTTGTTATGTGAGAATAGGTCAACACCTATCTTTTCCCAAGGGCGCATAGGAACCTTATGTGGAATCATAGGTTCTCTTTGATTGGCATTTCTGTGGGTTTTGCAAATGTCACAGGTTTTTATCATATCCTCTATCTGGGAATTCATGTTGGGCCAAAAGAGTGTCTCTCTTGCTATGGATTTTGTTTTCACGATTCCCATATGGTTTTCATGGATAAGCGACTTTACTTCGTCTCTCATTGATGTGGGAATTACCAGTTTCAGGCCTTTGAACACGAGACCATCAACTGTACTGAGTTCATCATGAAAGGTGTAATATGGCATGACTGACTCATGTACATCAGTCTTTTCAGGCCATCCAATTCTGCAATATTCCATAATGCGTTGCAGTACAGGGTCATTCGAGGTCGCGTTCCTGTACTCTTGCTGTTTTGGTTTAGACATGGGTAAAGCTTGAAGTAATCCATCTGCTTGTTGATCAATGTCATTCATGATAGAAGCGATAATTTTCGAGCTTTCAGTGTCACTGTCTACGCATGCTCTGCTGAGAGTGTCTGATATAACCATGTCTTTTCCAGGTTTCCACTTGATTGTGACATCATACTTTTGCATTTGCAAAAGCATTCTTTGTAATCGAGCTGGGGCTTTATTTAAAGCTTTCTTTGCGATCACCTCCAGGGGCTTGTGATCAGTTTCCACGACGAAGGGCTTACCATAGAGGTATTGGTGAAACTTAGTTGCTCCAAAACATATACTCGTCATCTCTTTCTCTATTTGGGAGTAGTTTTGTTGGGCAGGAGTTAGCGATTTTGACGCGTAGCATACAGGCATATCATCCTGTAGTAGGACAGCTCCAAGACCATCTTTCGAAGAGTCTACATTCAGCACTGATGGCTTATTGGGGTCATAAAACTTGAGAACTGGCGCTGTAGTTATAAGCTTTTTCAGCTGCTCATACGCTTCTTTCTGTGGCTTATTCCATTCGAAAATAATATCCTCTTTCATTAGTTCTCGCAAGGGAGCATTTAGCTCTGATAAGCGTGGTACGAACTTGGCAACATAATTCACCATGCCAAGGAATCGACTCAGTGATTGTTTATCTGTAGGGGTTTTCATCTCAACTATCGCTTTTATCCGATCATCCGGGATACTCAGTCCATCTCTCGACCATGTATGTCCTACATATGTGACTGATGGCACATTAAACTGGCATTTCTTCCTGTTAAACTTGAGGTTGTTCTCACTTGCTCTTTAGAACACTGCTTCCATTCGATGCTTAAGCTGTTCCTCATCTTTGCCAGAAATCAATATATCATCCACTTGGACTTCAACGCCATCTATTCCTTCTAGAACTTTACAAACTTCCATCTGGAACTTTTCAGTAGATATGTTTAGTCCATATGGCAGACGTGTAAATCGATATCGTCCAAAGGGTGTGTTGAAACAAGTAAGCAACGAACTCTCGTGATCAAGTTCAAGTTGCCAAAATGAGGTTGTCGCATCCAATTTGGTAAACCTCGTAGCACCTTTCAATCTTGTGCTGATCTCTTCTGTTGTGGCAGTAGGGTACGGTTCCCTTTTAATAACTTTGTTGAGGTTTGCAGGATCAAGGCATATCCTAAGAGATTTGTCGCTCTTCTCAACCAAAACTATATTATTCACCCAATCAGTAGGCTCATCCACTTTGGCAATTACTCCTTGTTTTTGCATTCGCTCTAATTCAGTTTTCAATTTGTCTCTCTGATGAACAGCTACCTTGTAAGGGGGGTGTACTACAGGCGTGACATTTTCTTCAAGGGTAATGTGCACTTTGCTAGGCAGACAGCCTAGGCCTTCAAATAAATAGCTGTAATTCGACACCAACTGGTCTGTGGTCAGTGTGCTGTCAGAGCCAACTGTAGAAATGTTCCTTCTGGATACTAAGCCAAAGAGAATAGCTGATTGCAGACTAATTAAAGTGTCAGCTTTCTCCTTAATTACTATGAATTTCACTTTGTAGTTTATCCCTTTGAAGTAACAAGACATATGACATTCACCCATGACGTCCAGGGGCTGCCTGTTGTAGGTAAATAGCCTTGTGGTAGAAGCTTTCATAGGGGGGTGTCTTAACCTCCTGAACAGTGCATGTGAGATCACATTGGCCTGGGCACCTGTGTCCACCTTAGCAGTAAGGGTGTGCCCACCTGTTTTTAGTTGTATAATCCAGGATTTTGAGTTGGGTATATCTGGGGTTTTGGCGGGAATCTGGGCTATCTTTGATGTCTGGGTGTCTGGGATTTCAGTGGTTACAGATCCCAAGTACACTTCATCTTCTGAAGATACTGATTCCTCCACCTGGTTCACTTTTCGGGGGTTTCTACGTTTTCCAGATTTGCCTTGCCTCCGTTGTCTAGAGTCCTTTTCACTAGATTTCCCACTACGGCAACATCTTTTAAAATGCCCGAATTTTAAACATCCGTTACACTGCTCATTAGCCGCAGGACACGTGCCTCCTCTATGTATCAGTCCACAGTTGTCACACCTTTGTGACTGCGACTTCTTTACAATACTGACTTCCTCATGTCCACTTTCTGTGCGGGAATTTAGAGAGTTCTTATGGACGTTACTCTGCTCATATAAGCGTGCTATCTTTAGAGCATGGTCTAATGTGAGGTCCTCCTCGTATCTTAGTAGCTTCTCTTGGACTTGTGTTGAATGGCAATGTGTCAATATCATGTCGGCGATCATCTCGTCAAGATCGGGGAATTTACAGTCTCTGCCAATAAGTCTAAGTTTTGTAACAAACTCGTCAATAGACTCATCCTTCGACTGGTAGCATTCATAGAACATTTTCCTCTGGATCGACCTGTTTTTCTTGGGTGTACAATATTCCTCAAATTTATCAAGGAGGGTTTTAGACTCCTTCTTTTGTGATTCCGAAAGTACCCCAGTGGCAATCCACGATCTGCAAATGTCCCTTCCTTTCTCGCCGATGAGAAGGAGAATTTGAGCGGCTTTCTCTTGCTCTTTCCATTTTGTGGCATCAGGAGAATCAAACATTAATTCAATAAGTTCTCTCCATCTCTTCCAATCTTCTGAGAGATTAGGGCCATAAAAGTCTAATTCCTTCACTATCTTTGAGTATCCACTTGCCATTGTTAATGTTTCTGATCTACTTATTCATGTGAGACCACATCTGACATCATGTTGTGTTTTGTATCAAGACTTTATTATACATCAAACATAATATAAGAACTACATAGTTAATGTGTTTCTAGTAGGAAGCCAGACTTACAAGTGTCTGCTATAAGCATGGTAATCTCAGTTAAGGGTATCAGATATCTTAATGACCAGTACTGAAACCAGATACATAACAGAAGGTACTGCACTCATGGGCTCTCATGTATTGCATTGCATTAGTTCTTGTCTCCGGCGAAGCGTCTACAGGGTGACACAAAAATGCCACCCACATAATGTTCGGCATGGGATGATATTACCATTAGTGTTGCCTCTCTAATTGGTGCAATGAATTTAACTTAACACATTGCTAAAGTTGGATTCATAATGTTTGTAATTAATTTGAATCAGAAAAATAAGAAATGATATTATATTAACCACGTATCTACTTACCAGTATGTTCTAAGTCATCCCTCACTTTGGCCCCCTAGGTTACATTGTGAAAAATCAGCCAAAAATGACTTTGGAGGCAGTATTCTCTGGAAGAAAAATTCAATGGAAAAAATATTTCCATTATGTCGACTAATCGTACCATGCAAAGCTTCCTTGCAAATAAATCCATTCGTTCAATTGATACTGCATAAAATCTTTTGCAACGGGTCAAAATAATTTCAGCTGTTGTCGCACTCAATTCAAAGGTCGGGAAACAACACATGCTTGGATTAATCATCCAGGATGCATTGTGCCCTGGGTTTGCAAAATATATCGGACGGTTGAATTCTACAGAATAGTGCATTTCATCTGATGCTTATTAACCGTTTCCATTGTAGATTGTGTATTCAAAGTTAGTTTTTCATGTATCATATTCTACCATTGTTCTCCAGTCAAAGGCCGGGGAAGTTGAAAATGCAGTAGGTGTTGCTATAGAAACCGGTTATCGTCATATCGACTGTGCATATTGCTATGGAAACGAGAATGAAGTTGGTGCAGGCATCAAGAAAAAAGTTGATGATGGAACCGTCAAACGAGAAGATCTTTTCATAGTTAGCAAAGTAAGTCTATAGAGAACAACCATTTTAATTGACGACGATATATATTTGAATTATTCCCATCTCCACAATCCCGGCCTTAAATTTTTTTATTACGACAACAAGATTAATACGTATTAATATACAGATCAGGTATTACTAATGGGTAAAACTTTATTCTGGTAATATAAATAATTTACATTACACTTGAGCTTTTTTATGATAAGGTCCTGATAGCCTTTTGCTCCATATGCAATTAACACTGGTAGGCAACCTTCTGCAATGTGTTCCTGTTTTTCATATTTTTGTTATGTATATTGCATGGAAACGTCATGCAAATATAGTAAATGAATAAAAAATACAGACATATTCTAAATTGGCATGATTTTTGTTCTGTATATAGCTTTGGAACGCCTTCCACAGGCCAGATTTGGTAAGAGGTGCAGTTGACGAATCATTAAAAAGTTTGGGAGTAAAGTATCTCGATCTTTACCTCATACACTGGCCATATGGCTTTAAGGTAAATGACCTAGTCTTGTAGAGTGTGGTTTGAATTGTCTTATTTCAAGGACCATTTTGTTATTCATTTTAAGAGATAAGATTGTACACCGATCAATATATTTTTTGTTACATACTTTGGTATTTATCAGTTGAAATGTTGAACTTACTGTTATCATCATTTGTAACTGCAAATATATTGTAAGCATTTCCACATTATTGCTATTTCCACAAAATTGCTATTTTATAATTACTTGTTTATAACACGTCCTTTTTACACGTCCTTCTAGCACATTCATGCCACTTGGAACTAATTTATTAAATGTATCACTTTTATCTAGAGACTGATGTTACCCTTGAACTTATTCACATTGTTAATTCATATTTCAGGAAGGACTTGGTAATCTTCCCAAAGATGAGGCTGGTAATGTCTTATACTCAGACGTTAACTACCTGGACACTTGGAAGGTAGGGGTAACCAATTAGATAGAGGCACCATGGTCATATTTGGATTTATTAAATGAGCATGGGTATTTGAAGAAGGTCGGTATCATTTTCCTTCCCTTTATCACAGTGCATCTATAATTTAATTTACAAAGCTAAACGTAATTCTCATTGCAGTTCCAACATCTCTGATATATTTGTAATGAGTTTGCATGTAAGTCTCTGTTATATCCTGGTTTAATATGATTGTCAAGGAATATCTCTACAAACATAAACCATTAAAATTCCATTTTGCAAATATGAATATTTAAATGTTAGTATATATACATACGTGTATTAGGTTCTGGAGGAGTTGGTTGACGAAGGGATACTAAAAGCAATAGGTCTCTCGAACTTCAACAGTGTGCAGATTCAAGACGTAATCGATAATTCGAGGATCAAACCAACCAATCTTCAGGTAAATTCATAACGTAACTTCTTAAACCAATCAAGCCATCCAACTTTCTCGTTTGTGAGAGGTAACTATTCAATGACCGAGCCAAAATAACTATTTTAAGCGAATTTTAGCTCAGGCGAAAGAGACACTAAAATATGAGTTTCCTCGAAAAATTATAGATCCCTCCATGATGAAAACTATCTATGGACCTTTTATACGAAAGTATATGAATCAAAAAAAGCGATATGAGAGATAATCGTTTATTTTTTCTCGACACTTACTTCCATTGTTTCTGTTTTGTGTTATTTGTACCAAGAACAATTATTTAAACTTGAATATTTTTATTTTACAGGTGGAATGTCATCCATATCATAATCAAGCAAAACTGCTGGCCTTCTGCCTTGAGCGAAATATAACATTTACAGCATACAGTCCGTTCGCTTCACCCGACCGACCTTGGTAAGATGTTATACAGTATTTCATGGGAATACTTTTTATTTGCATAGCAAATGGCCAGGAAACCACCATTGACTTGTTTGTATAGATTTACTACCTTGATATTCTCAGATGGATTGCTATTTTTCAAACAGTCATAAAATGAATTCTTGAGTTTTGCGAGGAATTAATAATTTAACTAATGCCGTGTATACTGTGTTAAATGTAGCGATATGACACACATTTGGTTCCAAGTAACATCTACAAATATATAGTTGTAAAGCTATTTAATTCAACAGATGTAGTAATATGATATAAAGTTCGATGAGTTTATCAATTATTATGAAGTCAGTAAAACATTGACTTGTAGTTAGAGTAGACCAGATACATTCTTATAATTTTAGGGCAAAACCTGGTGAGCCTCTATTGATTGACGACCCAAGACTAAAGGCAATAGCCGAGAAATACAGCAAAACTCCCGCTCAAGTAAGCACTAATTTTATAGATGTACAGTAGTAGGTATAGGGAACAAATGAAGTAGTGGAAATCCAGGGGGGGGGTAGTTTTGTAGTTGTTCTTAATAACAAAATATTATTAAATGCTTTATATATCCAAAAGGATATCAAGCTGATTAGAATATTGTATTAAATGTATGTAAGATTACTGCTGAATAAAGAAAAAGTAATTTTATCCTCGTAACGACAGATTTACGAATGGATAATGAACAATGTGAATAACAAAGGAGATATGTAAGGTGAAAGAATTCGAAAATAATTTTGCAAATGTATGCTATATATAAAATCTCTTCCGACAGGTTGTACTGAGATACCAAGTCCAGAGACAAGTTGTTGTCATTCCTAAAAGTGTTACACCAGCAAGGATACAGTCAAACTTTCAGGTTAGGTCATAATATTAATTGTATGGATTTAAAGGTGCAAGGAATATACAGATATAGGGGAGTTGATAGTATATTTCTTGGACATATTTGCCTCAACTTACAAGTTATTTTGCTCACTACTTTTCCTATCATGGGTATTTTGCAATAACCTGGAAAGTCATCATGATAAACTATGACATCTCATTTCTTCTCAGCCCTGACATGTTTCAGGTGAAACAGAAATATGCTATGAGTATCAGAATGCTTGAAAGTGGACATTTCGCCATTTTAAATCATCAATATCATTTATATTGGTCATTTTATATTTATTACATTTTCAGGTAATTAATGATATTATTACGAGACATATTACCATGCTTTTTGAAGATATTGCAAAGTAATGTTGACGTATGGTGTTTATATGTCAGTATTTATCATTAAACAGTATTTTTAGATATTTGATTTTGAGTTGAGTGCCGAGGATGTTGCTGCTATAGATGCCTTCAATATGAATCAGCGCATCTTGGTTCCATCTGTGGAACGTGAGGGGTAAGCTTGAAAACAAAATGTCTTGATACATTCATTGCATTGAATGAATAAAGTACTATAACTGTTAGACGACATAGTTTTTGTAGCCTTAACCAAGTCTCAGCGATAGCGGAAAGGGTGCGTTTCTACAATATGCTCTCTGTGAATTGATCATTGAAGTGATTGGTTATCATTTAAGAACGTTCTGATAGCCCTTATGGCTAGGTTACATATCAGCACATTTCAGGACATATTTTTTATACAATTGCAATAAGAAGAACAAAACGTTAAATATTGCCAATAGTTGCATTGCTTCAGCAATGGCAACTCAAACAGACGATATGATTCATGTAATCACACATATGGAAGTTGGCCAATTTTTGTTAAAACCTGTTTTTTAACCCATTTGGTCAAAATTGAGGAGTTATTTGTTGGCCTTAAGTTATAGGCAACTAATTTTGAATTATAACCTCATCGAACCAAGCCAGAATTCGTGGACAATGAAAAACATACCATTTCCGCTCCAAGAAGTAAGACATTCAATTCAATTTAATTTACTACAGAAATCTTAAATGATAACACATTTTGTAGATTACATAAAACTGACCCACCTGTTGGGAATATAAATACTCATATGATGTCATATATAATTCAATAGGTTTCGTTTTTTTTTATCATACAGTTTTTCATTTCCAGAAAAATGGTTTACAGAGACGCTGCCCACAAATACTTTCCATTCAACATTGAGTTCTAAAGAGGATCAATATTATCAACGCGCCTATGACACCAGATAGTCAACTTTTATATGCAACCAGCACACTAACAGGGTATTCTTGGTTTTCAAACAATTTGTGGATCAATAATCCTATCATTATCAGTATTGTATATAGTACAAATAGATGGCGATGGCATCATTTTCTCCACTGATATTAGAAATAATGAACTAGTTTCAGTAGCTCTTCTTTAGCAGGCCCGTATTCAGCTTTTGCCAAGGGAGGGGGGGGGGGGGTCGCTTTTTAAAAAATCCCAGTGTTGGGTGCTCGCATTTGACTTTTTTGGGACAAAAAAAAATGGCCAAAACCAGCTGGAAAATTTCAAAATTGTGAAAAACTACATGATATAGAAATACATTTTGAGAATGGCGAGGTGCTCTAACCCTCCTGTGTCCCCCCCTCTGGCAACGGGCGTGCCTGTTTAGTATTATAAGGATTAAATGATTAAAATGGAATGTGTAAAAACTATCCAATAATGCATTGTGGCATTTGATAAAATATGGATGTTATTAAATATGAATTCAAAGCATTGATAATAAGGACAATATATTTCTAAATTGTGACAATCTCAAATGCAATACTATTTTTTCTTATAATATAAATAGCTGGAAAAGTGGTGTACTATTAAGTATTGTATATACTTTACATTATGAATCAATTCCTTATTATGTACTGAACGATATTACGTATTTCTTGATATTTGTAGTGGGAGCAGTCTGAGAGTTATTTTTCTACAAAACATATTCTCAAATAAATTGTGATTAGAAAGATTTAGCTTCCTGTTTATGCGTATTTATAACACAGACTGACAAAGATATGTCATGATTGTAAGTACTTTACCGAACGCATATACGACACTATTAACCATATATCAAACGTGGCAAACATATTGGACACATGTCACACATAAATGACACGCATAAGCAAACATGTTTGACACATTACAAACATTAAGAAGACTTGACAAACAAAGGATGCATGGCAAAAATGTATGACACGTAGAGGCAATAATATAGGACACAAGGCAAGATTATGGATCACGCACAAAAGATGGGATACATGACAAGATATTTGAATAATCGCAAAACATGGGATACATAACAAGAATATGGAAGAAGTGCAAAACATGGGACACATGACAAGAATATAGAATAATCGCAAAACATTGGACACATGACAAGAATATGAAACAATCGCAAAGCATGAGACACATGCCAAGAATATGGAACAAGCGCAAAACATGGGACACATGACAAGAATATGAAAAAATCGCAAAACATGGGACACATGACAAGAATATGGAAAAAGCGCAAGACATGGGACACATGACAAGAATATGGAATAATCGTAAAACATGGGACACATGACAAGAATATAAAACAACCACAAAACAGGGGACACGTGACAATAATATGGAAGAGGCACAAAACGTGGGACAAATGACAAGAATATGGAACAAGTGCAAAACATTGGACACGTGACAAGAATATGGAAAAATTGTAAAACAAGGGACACATGACAAGAATATAAAACAACTACAAAACATGGGACACATGACAAGAATATGGAAGAAGCACAAAACATGGGACACATGACAAGAATATGGAAGAAATGCAAAACATGGGACACATGACAAGAATATGGAACAAGCTCAAAACATGGGACACATGACAAGAATATGGAACAAGCGCAAAACATGGGACACATGACAAGAATATGGAATCATCGCAAAACATGGGACACATGACAAAAATATAAAACAACCACAAAACATGGGACACATGACAATAATATGGAAGAAGCACAAAACATGGGACACATGACAAGAATATGGAACAAGCGCAAAACATGGGGCACATGACAAGAATATGGAATAATCGCAAAACATGGGACACATGACAAGAATATAAAACAACCACAAAACATGGGACACATGACAAGAATATGGAACAAGTGAAAAACATGGGACACATGACAAGAATATGGAAGAAACACAAAACATGGGACACATGACAAGAATATGGAACAAGTGCAAAACATGGGACACATGACAAGAATATGGAACAAGCGCAAAACATAGGACACATGACAAGAATATGGAACAAGTGCAAAACATGGAACACATGACAAGAATATCGAACAAGCGCAAAACATGGGACACATGACAAGAATATAAAACAAGCGCAAAACATCGGACACATGACAAGAATATGAAACAATCGCAAAACATGGGACTCATGACATGAATATGGAACAATCGTAAAAGATGGGACACATGACAAGAATATTAAACACGCGCAAAACATGGGACACATGACAAGAACATTGAACAAGCACAAAACATGGGATACATGACAAGAATATGGAACAAGCGCAAAACATGGGAGACATGACAAGAATATGGAACAAGCGCAAAACATGGGATTCATGACAAGAATATGAAACAAGCGCAAAACATGGGACACATGACAAGAATATGGAACAAGCGCAAAACATGGGAGACATGACAAGAATATGGAACAAACGCAAAACATGGGATTCATGACAAGAATATGGAACAAGCGCAAAACATGGGACACATGACAAGAATATGGAACAAGCGCAAAACATGGGACACATGACAAGAATATGGAACAAGCGCAAAACATGGGACACATGACAAGAATATGGAACCAGCGCAAAACATGGGAGACATGACAAGAATATGGAACAAGCGCAAAACATGGGATTCATGACAAGAATATGAAACAATCGCAAATTATGGGACACATGACAAGAATATGGAACAAGCGCAAAATATAAGACACATGACAAGAATATGGAACAAGTGCAAAACATGGAACACGTGACAAGAATATTTAATAATTGCAAAACTAGGGATTCATGACAAGAATATGGAACAAGCGCAAAACATGGGACACATGACAAGAATATGGAGCAATAGCAAAACATGGGACACATGACCTGAATATGGAACGATCGCAAAACATGGGACACTTGACAAGATATATGGAAGAAGCGCAAAACATGGGACACTTAACAAGAATATGGAAGAAATGCAAAACATGGGACACATGACAAGAATATGGAACAAGCTCAAAACATAGGACACATGACAAGAATATGGAACAAGCGCAAAACATTGGACACATGACAAGAATATGGAACAAGTGAAAAACATGGGACACATGACAAGAATATGGAACAAGCGCAAAACTTGGGACACATGACAAGAATATGGAACAAGCGCAAAACATGGGATACATGACAAGAATATGGAACAAGCACAAAACATGGGATACATGACAAAAATATTGAATAATCGCAAAATATGGGATTCATGACAAGAATATGGAACAATCGCAAATCATTGGACATATGACATGAATATGGAACAATTGCAAAACATGGGACACATGACAAGAATATTGAATAATCGCAAAACATGGGATTCATGAAAAGAATATGGAACAAGAATCGCAAAACATGGGACATATGACATGAAAATGGAACAATCGCAAAACATGGGACACTTAACAAGAATAATAAACAAGCGCAAAATATGGACAGATGACAAGAATATGGAACAAGCGCAAAACATTGGACACATGACAAGCACACAAGAAACACCCGGAAGAAACATGACAAACATACAGGACATATGGAAAATGAAAAATGTCTTTACTTGTTACTATTTCCAGTTTCACTTTATTTTAGAATCTTATTCTGCTAATCCCCTATATACCCTGTCTCCTCATATTAATCTTGTGAATTAATAACGTGTCATGATGATCCTGTTTATTGTGTAATCACTATAATTACTCATGATTTGGAATAAGCAGCAGAGATTATGGACAATAAATCATTTTCAATTGTTTTTATGGTGAGACGCTAGGAATATGGATGAAGTTGATACATGTACCGGATTATATAGAACAATTATAAATAACGAGAAAATTGTTCTTTTTTGCAACAAATGATTCGATATTCCCTTTTATTTGAAATGTATGATTATTACATCCGTCAAATCATCATAATATTTTCATAACATTGATTAGTGAATGCTATTATATATTAAAATAGGGATTATGCAAAGACGAAAGAGCGAAGCACGTCACATTGTGATCAGCTAATCTTTTTTATGATGTCTTAATATTCCAAAGTACTTCCCGCAAGTAATTCCTCAAGTATTTCCCAAGTTCAAGGGAGCTATGTTAGACGATATTTCAACGAGGCCAGGGAATACAGTTATAAAATATTTTAGAAACGCGATAATTGTGTTATATCCAAAATGCACCCATCTTTTTCAGTCTTAACCATGCGTAGAGTATGTGCAAATGTGGTCAACTAACATTGACAGTACACTACGTATACATGTAAACAGCTCGGTACACGCACATTAGGAGGCGACAACTTGAAGAAAAATCAATTTACCATTCAATCAAATCATGAAATAAGTTAAACTTAGTTAAAAGTAAGCAAAATGACCAATAAAAAGAAGATGTATCAAACATTTTCTAAATCGAGTGCTGCATTCTGGGTAAGTATTCAGGAACGTATTCCAAAAAAGATTTGCGTAGAATTTATGCATCCAGTTTCTGGTCTTCATGTTTGATTTTAAAGAAAGTACTAAAACACATGAAACACTTTTTGCATTTTTTTTGCATTTTGTGTGATTTTCATTATTTGACATTAACATTTAAAAAAGTAATTGTCTTTTTAACAGCAAGGAGGATTGGCTCCCAGAGTTTATGTTAATGTTTGAATTCAAACAGCCGCCATTTTGTTCACTTTAACATTTCAATCCTGAATTATAGTCTTATTTCCCCAAAAATTCCAAAACTCACAAGAAATGATTGAGATATTGGTTCGAATCTTATGAACTGTTTATTTTGAATTTATATTCGGTTATTATTTCAGAAATATATATCATCATCAAGTTTTTTGAGATCCTTTTTGAATTATACGAGAAAATAGAGACAAGGCCTTTTCTTGGAATGTGTACAGCCTGCACATATTCCAAGAAAAGCCCTTGTTTTTATTCTCATGTTTTTCTGCCAGGAGGCATTTTCCTCCCCCTTTGAAAAACCAAGACAATGCTCTTAAATGGAGTCTGGGATTTGCATACCCTTCTTTTGAAAGCCCGTGGCTATGGGTACAATTTTCAATTTTTTCAATTTTATTTATTATACCATCACCCAAATAAAGGGTATTAGGCAAAAGTACATACAGTAAATAAGTATACTTTTGCTTATATGGAACTGAAAACTCATGTTTCCATTGAATCTAAGAGAAATAATTGATAAGTAATACTCCATCGGTAAAAGCTTTTTTTATTTAAAAATATCAAACCAGATCCAAAGCTTTGAAATTTTGCATCCAGTCATGTACCAACGTATTTCCAATCAACAATCAATAAACAACCGAATATTGAGTTTGCAATTACGGTCTGATAACTCGAAATATGTTATATTTGAGGGAAATTGCTTTTTAGAATAGAAATTAAGATTGACACAAAGCTCTTGAAACTGTTGAATTGGGTCTCTCCTGTTGTTCCATTGTATTTGATACGGTACTTACCACAGATCAATGGACATTACAAATATTTGATCTTTGGATTAAAACCTATTACATTTGTTATATTTCCTCGGTGTTAATGCAAGTTAAACAAGGTCAATTCGGCGAGAAATTAATCGAAGGTCAATGTTTTTTATAACAGAGTGACGCGCTTACTTGGATAGCCTGTTTTCATTGAGATTAATCAATCCGCCCTAAGTGATCATCCTTAAAATACACTAAAGGCTATCTGTCCAACGCGAACTATTCTTTCTATTTTAAATTCTCAGCTCGCAACATACTCTGATATTTCAAGACTGGATTTTTGATATAATGTGATGAGTTACAAACACCACTAAGTATCTTACTTGTCATTACACTGTATGGGCGTGAGCCATTTTTAGACCCGATCTATTATAATTATACCACTACATAACGGTATAAGCATGTTACGTTGAGATGACTTCATAAAATCTTAATGATGTGATTGTTATTCCTACATGTTTTTGAGACACGAAATCTTTTTGAATTTAATATTTATATTTTTACACTTTATCGTTGATGTGCACGTGAGTATAGTATTAATACACGTTTCTGAATGAAGTACAAAGTCATACATTATATAAAATCCGTGATTTCGCCTGTTTCTTTAGCATTGCCCAAAAGAATACGGTTGATCAACCAAAACGGATGTCTAAATTAGATTCATTACTATATCAAAGAGCGATCAAATCCCCAAATTCCAGAGCCTCGTTTAATGACAATTCAAGCGTTTTGATCAAGATTTTTGACATTTTTTAAAGTAAGTAGCTGAGAAGAGGGATTTCTTTTGATGTTGGATATCCAGCGACCTTTATGAATAGTTATACGCATGTATAACGATCATCAATGACAGTCTTATACGGCAATTTCCTCTGAGAATTGTATTCGAAACTGAACTTGACTTATTCTTTCACACGTGTCAATGTCGTCAAGCGTCGATAATTGTTTCAAAGTGTTTGAAATCCCTGAGGATGTCACACCTTTAAAGCAATTTAACCAGCTTTTGCCTTGGTGCCGAGACCCTGAAATTCAATCATATATGCTAAGCAAGAGGAGGGAAAGCCAAAGAAAAATTTAGAGATAGCGGAATGAGTTTCTTGCTTACCACCTTCGTTTGTTCGCATGTTCACCGGCTAATTTCTAAAATACTACACGTCGATGTGATGTTTTAATTGATGTAGGCATATTTCGTACACATTTCTTTATATTGACAGGAAATAAGAAGCTATGGTATTGGTTAACACGCCAGAAATGAACACAATATGATTCGAAGCATATATTTCGAAAATTTTGAGGCCGCCATTTTGTTTATCGATTTTGACCAATCAAAGACGTATATGTCATCTCATTAAAGGTTTACATTATAAGCGTAGGTCATCTTTGAACTCTGGGGTTAATCCACCCCCTTGATGCTAGGCTTTGATCTGTGCAATAATGGAAAAGCAAAACTCTTTCTTAAGTATATTTGCGGATCGAAATAACAACCAGAGACGTGTTACATAACTCCCGATTATCAAAAATGTCATATCGAAAGTTTAAACCACTTTGGCTTATATTGCAATTTTACCCACGACTTGTTTGATGAAGAAGTAATAAATGCTGTTTAATTATCAAAAATATGATTTAAAAATAGTAATTAATGACATTTTTCGAAAAAAAACGATTTAAAAAAAACGTTGTGGTCGTTTTAGATGTCAATCCATTTTGGCAGATAAAGTGTAAACTATAACAATAACGGGTGCAACAATTAGTGCAGAGGGGCCATTGAACGATCATGGACCAATGTCAAAATATATCTAAGTTTGGGTATTTCATCAAGAATAACATCTATTTTTATTATCTACAAAGAAATCCCCTGGATGAACATTATTTCAAATGATATTCCTCTTGAAACAAGGTGGATCTTAAAAATATAAAACGAAAAGTGGATTTCCCCTCTTTGAAGCTTTGAACTGAATTAACACTTCTTAATGCTGAAATTGATAGTTTACATTTTAAGAAAATAGGTATGTCAAAGAAGATGGAAGGCCAAATGTTGCCTTGATAGCTCATCAGAAAAAGTTAAAATTTTCCTATTTTCTCTCCACAGGCCTTGTTGCCCCTTTAAGTTTAAAATCAAAAACATTTCAATAATCATTTAATTATATGTCAATACAAAATCACTTTTGATTCACAAGGTTTAGGTTGCTCCAACTGTTTTATAACACCTTAAAAATAGTTTTGTTGACATTTAAACATGTTAACGAGCTTTTACTAGTTGACATTGGATTTAATTATTTAAGCTGCATAACAAAGTATAGCTATGTTTTTTTGTTCTGATTGGCCAGAGAGAGACATCGCATGCCAAGTTTTGTATAAATATTTCACAAAAGACACGTTTAATTAATAGTCGAAATACGTTGACATAGACTTTGGCTATACACAGACATTGGGTCAGGCACCGCCAACGGCCAGACTAATGCACCAAAGGTGGCTAACGGCAAAATTTTCCAATTTTCCAACGTATCTCATAGTTATACAAATTTTGTCCAGTAAGAAAATATTATCTGCCCAACACAAGAAAAGATATTTCACTTTTTGTGATTTTACAACAAGGGATCTATGGGGAATCTCCCCGACCCGAAAGTTGTTACGCGGTATATGTCATACATTCATGGTTGCGCGGTATTTGTGATACGGGTAAATATGCCATACTCACCTGCGGTATATGGCATATTCCGTAGGTCGAGTATGCGATATTCCGCAGTGAATATGCGATTCATTGATTTCAGTGAATGCCCGATATTCAACTGCGGAATATGTCATGCTCACTTGCGGAATATGCCATATACCGCAGGTGAATATGACATATACTGCAGGTGAAAACGTGATACAGAAAGCCTTGATTTGATTGGTTGCGAGAATCGACTCTAAATGTAAAACTACGCTGGATTACCAATATAGTAAGTGCGTCGAGTACTAATATATGAATCCTGGATTGATTGAGTAAGTTTCTTACGCGAGATTGGTGATTGATACTTCTGCTAAGTTAATATATTCGATACACAGTACCGTTGATTCAGTAATCATTATAATAATTTATAACGTTTTACTTGTTCGTTCAATCGATGCAATTGACAATTACGTACTTCCGTATCACGTTCTGATTGGTTAGTGTGTACGCCATATACCGCAGGTGAATCTGTCATACACCGCAAGTGAATATGCCATATTCGTTGCGGAATATGACATATTTTTGTATCGTGTTTACCGCGTAACAAAAGTCACATTTTAAAAAAGATTAAATTTTCGGATTTGATAGACTCTTCAAAACCACTTTTCTAGATGTAATTGTACATGTAGATTCCAAATATGACATCAGTTTGACTGAATTTTGAATATTTAATAACGTAACTCAAGATTATTTCTACTGGCATCTAGTCTATTCTAGTTTACAATCATCAATCGGAATGTATCATTATTTAATAAATATTTAAAACCATACGTTGTGTTTTATGTCAGTAACTATTAGTTTCCGTTTAGCAAGATCTTGCCGCAGCAGCACTGATACATAGTCAGTCATAGGAAGATTAATTCGAATGGACAAAGTGGAGCAAGCGACCGTGTACATGATGAATGTCACATGGCGC